CATCTTTATTCACGTCATTTATGGACCATTTCTGGATGTCAACGGACGTCCAGATTATAGTCAGTATGAATGTCTTTTCTCAACTAGTTCTGGCTGTCAGTGGACGTTTAGATAATGGCCAGATTGGACATCTTTATTCACGTCATTTATGGACTATTTCTGGATGTCAACGGACGTCCAGATTATAGTCAGTATGAACGTCTTTTCTCAACTAGTTCTGGCTGTCAGTGGACGTTTAGATTGTGGCCAGATTGGACATCTTTATTCACGTCATTTATGGACCATTTCTGGATGTCAACGGACGTCCAGATTATAGTCAGTATGAACGTCTTTTCTCACCTAGTTCTGGCTGTCAGTGGACGTTTAGATAATGGCCAGATTGGACATCTTTATTCACGTCATTTATGGACCATTTCTGGATGTCAACGGACGTCCAGATTATAGTCTGTATGAATGTCTTTTCTCAACTAGTTCTGGCTGTCAGTGGACGTTTAGATAATGGCCAGATTGGACATCTTTATTCACGTCATTTATGGACCATTTCTGGATGTCAACGGACGTCCAGATTATAGTCAGTATGAATGTCTTTTCTCAACTAGTTCTGGCTGTCAGTGGACGTTTAGATAATGGCCAGATTGGACATCTTTATTCACGTCATTTCTGGACTATTTCTGGATGTCAACGGACGTCCAGATTATAGTCAGTATGAACGTCTTTTCTCAACTAGTTCTGGCTGTCAGTGGACGTTTAGATAATGGCCAGATTGGACATCTTTATTCACGTCATTTATGGACCATTTCTGGATGTCAACGGACGTCCAGATTATAGTCAGTATGAATGTCTTTTCTCAACTAGTTCTGGCTGTCAGTGGACGTTTAGATAATGGCCAGATTGGACATCTTTATTCACGTCATTTATGGACCATTTCTGGATGTCAACGGACGTCCAGATTATAGTCAGTATGAACGTCTTTTCTCAACTAGTTCTGGCTGTCAGTGGACATTAAGATAATGGCCAGATTGGATATCTTTATTCACGTCATTTATGGACTATTTCTGGATGTCAACGGACGTCCAGATTATAGTCAGTATGAACGTCTTTTCTCAACTAGTTCTGGCTGTCAGTGGACGTTTAGATTATGGCCAGATTGGACATATTTTTTTAAGTCATTCATCGACTAATTCTGGATGTCACCGGACGTTCAGATTATAGCCAGTATGAACGTCTTTTCTCAACTAGTTCTGGCTGTCAGTGGACGTTTAGATTATAGCCAGATTGGACATAATTTCTCATTGTCATTAATCAACTAATTCTGGATGTCAATGGACGTTCAGATTATGGCCTGGACGGACGGACGTGATATCAACCTGTTTTGTATGTCCACAGACGTCGCTTGCTCAGTGGGTAATTGTATATGAATATAATACAATATAATAGATATGAATATATATATATATATATGAATACATAATTTAATAGCATATCATATGAATATATATATATGAATATATACATAATTTAGTATGTAAATGTATTATTATTACAATTTTGGGGTTTACATTTATAATGAGGCAGGGTGACCAATAGCAACATATCTGCCAACCAATCACGAGTGATTTTTCTTGTTTAAATGTAGTGGTTTCAACCAATACTGAGTGAGGTAATTCAAGCCATTATCTGGCAAGGCGCGCGCGGGCGCTGCTATTCATATGCTAATTAGAGCCATTAGCACCTCCGCTAGCTCTCCTTACGTCATATGGTACGTTTCCGTCAGTATGTGGCACAGGCGAACGCGACGTTCGCAGGCTGTAAATTGTCATTAACTGACGAAAATTAGGGAGATTTCCGACCGTTTACGGGGACGAAAATCCCACTTTTCATGCAGTGAGATATGATTTGGTTTTGGAAGAATCTGATGAGAGATGTTTGGGTTTGTATAGTGATCTCTGATGTTTGATTGCTTTGCATACTTTTGGTATCTTGGCCAATCTGAGCACAGTTTGAGATCTCTTCTGAAACTCTAATGCCCTACACATTGTGTGATTTGGGGCTGTTCCAGACGAAAGATGACCAATAGTGGGGATTTCTGTGGTCGTGGCTTCTAAACTGTGGTTCTACGTCGTACAGTGAGAGACGTTCAAAGACGACCGTATCACGGTCTTGCGACCAAAGATTGCCTGCGATAATTTTATGACAGATATTTAGCATGATCATCTCACAGTGTGTTTGCTGCTACGACCTACGTCTACTGACGAGCCAATAAAAATGCAACATGAAATGGCGTATTGATCAACTTGACCCGGCGCTAAAACATAAAACTGTTTACCTCAAGCTCCATTTGCAAAAGTGGCATGCCAATTTGGCCTCTTTTCCCAAGCAATGACCGTGTCCATATTCTCCTCTTTTACTTCCTCCTCTTTTTTAGGGCTCATAAAAATTGCCAAAGTGCGATTAATGTTTCTCTATTTGTTTACCACGAGCGCACGCTGATGAGGTTTTATTCTTCTGTACTAACTTCCATCGTAGCCTACGATTCAATAGGTGTCACCATCGTACAGTCTACATACATGTCGTACCCAAGTTTATTAGTTCCATGTCGTACATGTCGTGTGATTTGTAATGATCTTATTAGGATTGCCGAAATCACACAGTCTGTAGCAGGAGCTCACATCAGTGGTAAACACGACACAGACAGGCAGACAGGTAAGATGAAAGGAAATGAGACAGAAAATAATAGAGTGTAGTGCACTTTGTTCACCTGTATGTCTCAGCAGGGCCACTGCAGCCCATGAAGGTCAAAGACAAACATTTGTGCGGGCATAAACCTACAAACTCACAAGCAGATCAACGCAGGCACAAATTGAATGCCAAATTGCCCCAATAAATTGCCCCAAGATTTCTTATAAGAAATAATTAGTGACTGGAATAGAAGGATTCACCACACTTAAACAGCAGTCAGGATGGGCTTTGCATTGACACCCACGATATAAAGATAGATGATCTAATCAAAAAAGCTTAAGGTTGTTTTCATGCTTGCGATGCTAAAGTAATTGTTTCATCTGCGGTACTGAATGCAGTTGTTAAACTCAAGATAAGGGCAGAGGAACTCCTTGATGAAATATTATCATCCTGCAGTGCAGTTTTCATAGTCCAGCATCAAACAGACATGTTAGTCTAGATGGCAGATAAACTGTTTGGAATTTGAAAAAATGTATGTGATATTACTTTCAGGTTTGTACTCTTATGGCATTTAACACCTCTTTTAATGATTGTATTGTCACACCACATTGCTGTGCTGCACTGCACATCCATCTTCAAACAAAGCCTTCCTTTTCTCCAGCCAGTGCCTAATATCCTTTATAGCAACTATTTTGAACTGGCTGACCACTGTAAATATCTATAAAAAAATGTTCATGTTTATTATTATAGAGCTAGATTATCATTTTTATAAATATTTCCAGTGATTATGCTTATATATTTTTCTTTTATGCTTATGATTATGCTTTTTTTGCAGGATATTTAAAGCACCACTAGGACAGCTAATCAGGAGTCAATTTCACAGTGGCTAAATTTGTGGCATAAGTTTCGGACGAGCTGATAAATTTGCCATCATAGCAGCACTTTCCCTCAATGATTTTTCTACAATCTTAGAAAAAAAGGCACAAAAGCTGTCACTGGTACACATACTTACCCTTGAGGTACTAATATGCATCCTTAAGGAGCTACAAAGGTGTGAATTAGGTACTGCCACAGTAACGGCTTTTGAACCTTTTTTCTGAGAGTGTATCATATTTGTGAAAATTTTCTATTAATCATCATATGGATTTTTCTTTACATCGTTTTTTTTAAAGAAGTACTGAAACGATTGGCATTATTCTAATAAAATACAACATACGACATTAGGAATTTGCATAGAAGGAATAAATAGCACTTAATCTTTTTCAAAACTCTTTTGAGTTGTAATTCAGCCAGGTTTTTGTTATATAATAAACAGTATTACCACTTTTCTATTTTTATTTTTATTTTTTATGACCACAATTCTTGCAAACTCAGCTCTGATCTTTTAGTGACACTCTGTGGTTTAGAACAAGCAACATCAGAAAGTTACATTTTGAATCATCCAAGGCAGAATTACATCCAATGCATCACAATCTTTAAAGGCTAATTCATTATGACCTCATGTGAAATCCACGAACAATTTATGTCACTCTTAATTTTTGTAACCTGAGCACTAAATCCAAACTAACTCCAGCAGATAAGACATTTATAGGCACTGGCCACAGATAGTAGAAAATTGCATGGTAATGGCCCATGAACAGAGCAGGTGCTGGGCATTTTGCTGCACCAAAAGTCAACTTGTTTTCAAAAATATTTCACAAAACTGCCGATATTCCCTCTCAGCTGAATCGAACACCTCAGAGTACAGTAAATTTCTCCCTAAAGTTAAATGAGGTGTATAGTAGCCTGGATTATGCCTTGTAAAGAGTTGCATTGATTTCACTATGGACAAATCAATGACATAATTGTGAGAGCAAAGTGAAAAATACGTCCCTGTCATTCACAAGACAGAATACAGAAGACACAACATGCTATAAACCATCATTTTTATGCATAATTTGATGCTTTATATCAGTAAATTTTGGGGAAAAAATATAAAATGTCTTGCACGTTGTTAACTACGATTATACAATAAACTACTGATCTCCTGATGAGATATTTCACCCAGAAAATCTTTTACACCCCTATGTTGTTCAAAACCTGTACGACTTTCTTTCAAAAGAAGATATTATACGTTGGGGTCAAAACAAAATTGAACACAGAAAGAAAGTAATAGAGTAAATGTGAACCATCCCTTTAACGTCCAAGTTTAACAAAAAAAAAAAAAAATTCGACTCGAATTGCACACTCTAAATTTCAAATAATCAGCAATCAGATTCATGCAAAGTGGCCTGAGTAAACTGATGTGAATCTAAAGTGTTTCTCCCCCTCTGTCAGCCTACCTGAGCTGTGTGCGGTTCAGGCACCTGTCCTGAGCAGATCTGCTGAAACTGAAGGCGGTTATATTCTCCTATTGCCTGCTTCTGTTTGTTTCCTAAGAGGATGCTGTTGCTCGGTCGTCTTATAGAGACACACCCCTCCCTGTGGTCCAACCCCTAACCCCCCTGTTTTACAAGTGTGTGTATGTGTGAGAGAGAGAGAGAGAGAGGGAGAGAGAGAGGGGGAGAGAGAGGACACAGAAGACTGTCTTGCGTATTGGGATGGGTGGACGTCAAGACCTATCTTCTACGTCAAGGATTGCAGTCTCTCAGAACAAGCTAGAAAACTAAAAATACAAGCAAAACATTTTCCCAGAATACTCGTACACTCATTCACAGCGTGTCCTCTGTCCATTCATCCTCTGTGCTGCTCTGATGGAGTGATGCTCCAAGACAATGATGCTTTGGGAGCTGTGCATAAAGCGTAACCATTGGCATTGAAATGGATTAAACTTCAATCTGCGCTGTTTTCAATATCTCATTTGCAGTCTTAATTTTTAGAAAGCAATAAACACAATTTGAGGGTAAACAATGGAAATGAGGGAGGTTAAACCAAACAGACCCAAAGACTTGTTTTTTATAGAATGAATAGGTCTTAATAGAAATACAGGTAAATTAGAAAATTATTGATTGCAATGTATACAATAATATTTGAAACAGTAGTTCAGATCGTTTGTCCATCAAAGAATGGATGAGAAATATTTGGGATTATAATGAAATCTCTCTTGTCTTGGCAGATCTGAGCACAGTTTGAGACCCTAGAAGAGATAGGCTATGTGAGATTACTGGTTTTTTAAGGGTTTTTTTGCAGGAGAAAAATGAAAAGGCATAAGCATTTGTTTCGGGAAAATAGTTGAGATGTTAAAGAAATCTCCTTCAGAAGTTTTCTTTGGGGAAGTTTATTTTTAATTATGATTGAGATTTCTGCAAAAAAAATTTTTTATCTTATAGCTTATAGGCAAAAAAAGAAAGAAAGAAAAAAGACCACTATCACATCACCCAGATTTGATTGACAGAAAGTGAAATAAAATGTAATTTACAGTTATAAAATGGGCATTTTTACATTTTTATATTGTCCAATCATACTAATATTTATTCTCATTTGAGATTTGAGATTGAGATTTACAATATACCAAACACAACGTCCCCATAACAAGTTTTAAAAAATCAATCCTTGTTTAAGACATCTCCAATAATGGAGATCTGAGGTGAGAAATTCACAGCACTCTGAAGATGACTGTGTGTTTTACACTAAATGGCCTGTAGATAAATGTGCCAGACGGATAGCGAAAGCTCCTTTGCATAGTCTCACAATGAATGGCAGTTTTAAAATAAAACTATTTCATGGTGATACCACAAAATCCCAAAAACAATGCAAGGACTCGAAAGTGTTGAGATTGCTTTTCTAACTGTGAGTCGCTTGTGAATTGAAACCCAGTCTTGTCTAGCAAGTCCAAAACAGCCAAATCAGAACAGGCCAGCACTCTGTCCACAGGTGAAGGGACCAGAAAATTGGCCCTCCCAGCTGTGGCCTCCACATCTGCTTAAGCCAGATCTTACAAAGTGAGTTTAAACAGTCATGTGTTTGTCCTTGGGCGGGTATATAGAGAACCTCTGATTATGTTGATGGTAAAAACAGCCTCTCGCTGAGATGACCATCTCGTGATGCTAAGAAGGGCTTCTGGCCCAAATGATGTATCATTGTAGCTCTCAGCATGATAGCATGGAGTGGGGAGATCTGATAAGTGTGTTACAGGATGAGTTGTGTTCACTGATCTGGCTTCAGCGTGTCACCATGCTGAGGAAATGGAGCCAGAGAAGAAACTCATGCTGAGAGAGCAGAAAGCATTTTGCGAGATTTTCTGGGGATCAGCTCTAGGGTGAGTCTACGATGGGCAGAACTGTTGGTTTATTGTGTTCTGGACTCAGGGCATGATGCATGGAAGATAAAATGTGCATATTAGAGAAGTCCAAGTCCCACTCAATGCAGTGGAAAAACAAAGGAAAGCCTTAAAAAAGATCCCTCAGCAGAATATCCAACCTGATTTAAGTGTTTTTTCCCCCAGTGATCTGATTATTGGTGTCATCACTTGGCATCTTCTATTAATTCGTGCTTGACAAGTAACATCAAACATAAATAAACTAAATTTAAAAAGGTGACAGAATGGGTAACAGAGTTGCAAGTCTATAACAAAATGTCATGATAAACTCCATAAATTAAAGAAAAATATTGAATACAGTAATTTTTATGTGATAGTTTGAGTAACCTGCTTGAATGGTTGAGTTTAACAAATGTAGTCAACAATCCCATTTTCTCAATTTTTACAAATATTGGTATTTACTTGTCTTTCCAAATTATGCTAATTCTTGAGCGTCACGTCACATTTTGAAATGTTTCATTTTTGTTCTCTAATACGGAAAATAATGTGGTAATACAGTTGTGAAAAATGTGAGATACAGCTAAATAATATGTTTTTGGTAATTAAAATGAATTGTTATAAATATGTTTTACTATAGTTGATTGGATATGAGTTCAGTAGATTGTCAAAATTGCATTGCATGATTTTATTTGTCTGATACAGGCATAGGCCCAAATTACCAGTTTTAATGGAGGACATTTAATGTGTTTAAAACTAGTTACTTTTCATGCTAGGCTAATTTTACTAGATAGAAGTTTATCAAATATATCTCATAGGTCTCACATCAAAAAAACATTTGGATTTGTGCCTCTAGGGCTTTACAAAGTAATGAGACACCAAAGTGCAACATATTCACGGAACGTGCCACAACGTAACAGATTCCCGTGTTGATGATGGCAGTGTGCTTTGTTAGATCTGTCCGTTTCATAATGATATAACAAACTTGTGTCTAAAGACTCAGTCAGCCTTTTTGTTGATTCAACACTGGCAATGTCAGAACAGTGCAATTTCAGAAACCCTCCCAAAGGTCCTTGTACAGCTGTATTTTCTTCCTGGCATCATCAGCTTGATTGTAAAGTAAACATTCCCAAGTTGTTTCAACCAAAATCAGAGTCATTGATAAAAATGAATGCAATCAATCAAGGGCGCAAGAAATCCCCAGTATCATTAAAACATGAGAGAGAACAGAGATGCATCATATGCAATCAGTTTGATTAATAGAGCTGCACTGCACTGCTGCTAATCCCACGGGATTATGACGTTAATGGATTTCTTCATATTTCAAAGCAAATAAAGCAAAGGTAAACCAGAACAAGGCTGTAAATTCACACAATAACAAACCTAAATAGCTTATGCTCAGAATCATGAACACTGTTATCAAATTAGCTCTTTAAAATGCCTGAAATAGTGAGTGGGATTTGAATGACATATTTTCTTAACAAGTACTCTGATACCAAAGAATGAACATTCAGTGTTTACCAGATTTATACGCTTTTGCAGTAATTTATTCCTTTGTTCAGTTCTTTTGTTCTTTTGTTAATTCATAGAAAATCATTGTAACTGCAAATGGCATACTTTACAAACAATAGATACAAATGAATCATCTTACTCCTCTTACATCTTAATAATCTTAATTATACTTTTTCTGGCCAATCATTTTTACCAAATGATCCCTAAATACCTTTGAAGAGCATAATCAACTTCAGTGTTCTTCAAAGGTTAAATTGTTCCTGTTGCTCAACAGGTAGAGAATGGTGCTAGCAACGCCAATGTCATGGGTTTGATTCACAGACACACATACTGTAAAAATGTGCTGCTTGAAAGCATGTTGCTTTGTGTGTATAAAAATAAATGAAACATTTAGCAAATGCAGAGTTTTCTTAAAGCGATAGTTCACCAAAAAAAGTCATAATTTACTCACCCTGGTGTTGTTCTAATGCCGTATGCCCTTCTTTCTTTTATGGACCACAAAAGAAGAATTTTTTTTAAATGTCCAGCTCGCACTCGTCCATGTAATGGCAGTGAATAGCGACCAGCATCAAGCTTTTTAAAAAAGATGCAAAGTAATAGAATGATCCCATGCAACACATGATATTTCAAGTTTTCTAGGGGTATACGATGTGAAATTTACAGTATTATTTAACAAAAATCCTGACCTTGACTATTGGTCCTCACAGTGCAGCTACGTAACAGGAGCGTTAGTGTGACTCTGTTAACGCGCAGTTCACTCTCGCCCAGAAGGTATTTTGTTCAAATCTGTCTAATGTCATCAGACAAACGTAGTTACGGTCCAGATTACTCATTGAAGAAAGTACACGGATACTTTTTTTGGGGGGATTTCTTGGCGTTGTATTTCATGTCGCTTTTTTGTTAATCTTGAGTGAACTGCGTCACACGAACGTGCACGTAGCCGTGCACTGAAGGTCAGGTTTTCAGTTAAATAATAAATACATTAAATATCATATCGTGTACCCCCAGAACACATGTTGCTTGGGACCAGGGTGAGTAATTTATAACTTAATTTTCATTTTAGGGTGAACTATCCCTTTAAATTCCATGTATAGTATCCATGAATGTGATTGTTTCATATTTAGGTGATGTTATTTGTGGAATCAGACAAGTTTGTCTTTGAGTGTCTAGACCAGCTATTTTTAGGATGCATGAATGCAGTCGAACTATTAGAAAGTTCGAGACAGCTCCAATTTGCCCTTGTCGCTTAGCATAACCGAAGTATAACAACGTCATATCAATTTCTAACGCCAAGGGCGAACTGCAAAAGAGTAAAATGGTTTTGGAGTGGTTGTCAATCAAAGAGTATGAGCTTCATGTTGAAACTTAATTGAAAAATTCATCTCATGATATTTATATAGGGTGTCATTGCCAAAGGGCATTTTCAGCATCTTAAAGAAGCCAACAAATTAAAAACATTGTTTAGGTATTCATTGTCACATAGTTCCTCAATTAAGAAAAACAGTATCTGTTATGCTTGCCTCAGCTCAAGCGTATTTGCTATTTAACAAGATGTCAAAAACATGTTTTCCAACATGAGTAAATAGCTTGACTATACTGTTGTCAAACATTAAATCCTCTTTCTCGTGGTCATATGATGTCCTTACATATGGGTTTTTGGACACTCTGACCAAGTCAACCGTTGTACATTTACA